CTTAGTTTAACTTAATGTACTAAAATAACTAAAACTGAAATAAAAATGAATAAAAACTCATATATATATATATATATATATATTTATATATATATACTCATATCCCCATATATATAAATAAAACCAAAAACTACCAAAAACACACAACAAAATTACTAAAACATTAACTAAAATTAAAATGGAAACAAAATATGAAAATAAAATTCATTAATAAAAACTACATAAAATTAATAAAATATTAATAAAAACTATAATAGTATTTCAATCATACTAAAACAACCCTGCATTGAAATACAATTGATATTTTTTAAATTTTAGATTTTTTTATAGTTTTCATTTTATTTTTTAAAATTTGTAGAATTTTGTTGTGTTTTTGTAACGCGGTTGGTCCAAAGTCCTGTAACTTCTTTTAATATGTCTGTAATAGCATTTAAATTTATTTTATTTTATTTTATTTTAACTAATCAAAAATGAGAAATGATGCCTTGGCAACTAGCCGAAATAAAATAATTTTTAATTTTTATGTTTTATTTTATTTCAGTTTGATTTAATTTCACCTGAAGCTTCATGAATATAATGGTTTTGCTTTTATTTTCGAGAGACTGGTCATTTTTAATCCTTGTTTATGTGGTCAAATCTTTCTTCTGGCCTAATGCTAAAACATTCCCCTCATATCCTATAAAGGTGACGACCCTCATGCTAATAACACCTCGTTATTCTTTCATTCTCGAGTTAAGATGCAAACTCGTTTGCGGCGGCCGGTTCACAGCGGTAATTAGAGAGATTCATCCGTTCTCCCTGACCTTCACCTGTTTGCGTTTGCGGCATCCGCTCATTACGCACGTCGCGTCTAATTATGTTGTGTTTTTTCAAATCGTACTTCTTTACAGAAACACGCATTTCAGATGCTTCCCTGTATTATTAAACCTCATTTCCAAATGCTAATTAGCACATAATTACAGCCACATTCATGTGCAAATAAATTTTGCATGTATCCGCGCCGCCGCCAATGAGAAAATTATTAAATTAGTTACTTAAACTTCCCTCGCATGTTTAAGTTTAAATATTAATTTGCGGTTGCGCATTTAATGGTTGGTGGTCTAATAACTTTGGCACTCGGAGAAATAGCAATTAGGCGGCGGTCGTTTCATAGCGATGCGAATAATGACTCGTTAATCAGGCCTTGAGATGAAGTGTGTTTCAGAGTTTGAATCGTATATGAAGAATGAAACATAAAAAGCTTTTCAACTTGAAATCAATGGCTTTAGCATTGTGCAGTATATATATATTAAGTAATTTATTTTTATATGCATAAAATCATTTATTTTAGTAGGAGATATTGATATTTACTTAAGACTTGACATTTCATTTCCAGTATGATGTATTTATCTGACAAAAGTAATATATTTTAAGTGTAAATTTTGTAAAAAAAAAGTTTGTTCATTTTGTTGTGTGTTTTTGATTTTTAAATATATTTTTTTATCTGTCTATATAGTTTTTATTAATTTTTATTTCAGTTTTAATTTTACTTATTTTAGAACAATGTTTCCTTGGGAAAAAGCTGAAATAAAGTTTTTTTTTTAAGGTTTTAATTTTAGTTAACTGTAAAAAACTTGGTGGCACATAAATAACAGTACTCAGTATATATTGCATATTAAAGCAGTAAACAGAGAGTAATCAAGTGACTGGCATCAGTGCAAACAGCTGTGTGTGTGTTTAAACTCTGTTAAGAATAAACACACACACACTCTCTCACAAACACACACACACACACACACACACACACGTGTTGTGTTTCCATGTTTTATGGGGACTCTCCATAGGCGTAATGGTTTTTATACTGTAAAAACCGCATGTGCTATTGCCCTACACCAACCCTAAACCTACCCCTTACAGGAAACGTTGTGCATTTTTACTTTCTCAAAAAAACTCATTCTGTATGATTTATAAGCTTGTTTCCTCATGGGGACCTCAAAAATGTCCCCACAAGGTCAAAATTTACTAGTATTACTATCCTTGTGGGGACATTTGGTCCCCATAACGTGATAAATACCAGGTACACACACACACACACACACACACA